ATTCTTTGTTTTCACAGGTTCATGTATTGGTCTGACTGGGGCATCAGGGCCAGGATTGAGAAGGCTGGCATGAACGGTGTAGATCGGCAGGTGCTGGTGTCTGAGGACATCGAGTGGCCCAATGGAATCACACTCGGTAGGAATTATTATGGTTATTCCCTTCTGTTATTGGTGCTCTATGGAAAGAGGAAGATGAATGTTATTGAGATGTCTTGTGTCTAAAACGGTTGAGCTTTATGCACTCTAAATGAATCAGTAATTGTTTGACAGTAGCGTTGTGTCTCTGAATGCAGATGTGGTTGGTAAGCGCTTGTACTGGGTGGACTCAAAACTGCACCTGATCTGCAGCGTGGATTTAAACGGGGCCCATCGCAGAGTCATCCTGTCCTCCAGCGAGAGACTCGGCCATCCGTATGCCCTCGCTGTGTTCGAGGTGAGTGAGCCTCCTAAATACTGTACCTGTGTGTCTCAGTTTCTTCTATTTCTTTATAAACTCAATGTGTATGTGTTTACATGCATGCGGTTAACACCAGCTAGTCTGTTTGTGTGTATTTATCAGTCCATTACTGTGAATGTAACTGCTGCCCAAGCAGTCCAGCACTTAATAATAACTCCCACTCACACTGCTGAGAAGCTCTGGTCCTATCGCTCACACACAGACCGGGTCGACTGGAGCGTATGCAAAAGAGTGTGTGTGCGGTCAGTATCTTACAGCCGAGTTAGCACTAAAGCCTTTCTTCTGTTCTCTTTGTGATTTATTAATATAGCAGCATTTTCAGAGCTGCAGGACTCTGGCCAGTGAGGTAGTCCAGATCAATCTTTTTTTTTAAGATTTATTTTTGGCGTTTTTGACTTATCAATGTATTATGATAGGACAGTTTAGATCTGACAGGAAGCGAAGTGAGATAGAAAAAGGGGGTGGGATTGGAAAAGGTCCTCGAGGTGGGATTTAAACTTGGGACACCCGTAGCGCAATTGCTATATATCTGTGCGTTTTATATATATATATATATATATATATATATATATATAACCACATTTTTAACCATAAAACAACTAGAATTCTTTAAAAATATATAGATTTTTCAATAGGCAATAGCGATATCAGGATAGCAAATATAATGCCGATATTTATATAACGCAATTTAAGGAAAGATTTATACAATATTTACTGGTGGTTGAGCTTTTTAATGGATCGTATGTCTAGTACACTACTATTCAAATGTTCGGTGTCAGTACGATTTTTTAAAAAAGTCTCTTATGCTCACTAAGGCAAGCAAAACAGTAATATTGTGAAATATTATTACAATATTCCTGTGATGCAAAGCTGAATTTTCAGCATCATTACTCCAGTCTTCAGTGCCACGATTCTTCAGAAATCATTCTAATATGCTGATTTGCTGCTTAAGAAACATTTCTTATTTTGTCAATGTTAAAAAAAAGTTGTGCTGATTAATATTTATTTGTCTAAACTGTAATACATTTTTTGTTGAATAGAAAGGTCAAAAGAACAGCATTTCTTTGAAATATAAGTGTTTTACTGTCACTTTTAGTCGATTTAATGCATCCTTGTGGAATAGAAGTATCAATTTCTTTCACATTTTTGAATGGTAGTGTATTTAGTCACTTAAAAATTTTGGAACTGATGCAAGAGGGACTGACTAATTTTATCATCTCAAAATGTCCAAATATTGTCTTAAGGAATTATTGTCATTCACATTACATATATTACATGAGATTAGCCTTTCTTCAGGCTTACAGCTTTATGTTTAATATAGCAGCATTTTCAGAGCTGCAGGACTCTGGCCAGTGAGGTAGTCCAGATCAATCTTTTTTTTTAAGATTTATTTTTGGCGTTTTTGACTTATCAATGTATTATGATAGGACAGTTTAGATCTGACAGGAAGCGAAGTGGGATAGAAAGAGGGGGCGGGATTGGAAAAGGTCCTCGAGGTGGGATTTAAACTTGGGACACCCGTAGCGCAATGGTGCTATATATCGGTGCGTTTTATATATATATATATATGAGACTTTTCATGAAGACAGCAGCTGCAAACTTCCATTTTAACTTTTGTTTTTGTTAACGTACACTATCATTTACAAGTTTAGGGTTGGTATGATTTTTTAAATGTCTTTTAAAAAAAAAAGTCTCTTATGCTCACTAAGGCAAGCAAAACAGTAATATTGTGAAATATTATTACAATATTCCTGTGATGCAAAGCTGAATTTTCAGCATCATTACTCCAGTCTTCAGTGCCACGATTCTTCAGAAATCATTCTAATATGCTGATTTGCTGCTTAAGAAACATTTCTTATTTTGTCAATGTTAAAAAAAAGTTGTGCTGATTAATATTTATTTGTCTAAACTGTAATACATTTTTTGTTGAATAGAAAGGTCAAAAGAACAGCATTTCTTTGAAATATAAGTGTTTTACTGTCACTTTTAGTCGATTTAATGCATCCTTGTGGAATAGAAGTATCAATTTCTTTCACATTTTTGAATGGTAGTGTATTTAGTCACTTAAAAATTTTGGAACTGATGCAAGAGGGACTGACTAATTTTATCATCTCAAAATGTCCAAATATTGTCTTAAGGAATTATTGTCATTCACATTACATATATTACATGAGATTAGCAAAGATGTCCATTAATCCACTGTTAATTGACTCAGCAGGCTTAATAGGTACAACTAGTCTCAAAATAGACAAATATCAGAAATATAGTTGCCCTGGGCGATATATTATCTATCACTAAAACATCTATAGAAACGCCGTGTGTAGGTGAGTGGCTATTATGGGCTGTGGAAGACCGTGGAAATTGATTGAAGCTGTCTCTGAAGCCACTTTAAATGTAAAACTGAAACATGCTCAGAATTATTCATGTTCAACATCCTACTTCAGTGATGTATTGTATTTTATGTGGGACAATTCCCTTTATTGTTTTAGCTGCTTAAGCTCAGCGGTCTCCATGGTAACGTAGGGACGGGTCCTGGGCAGAGTTATGATAGGAAGAAAGAAGATTATAGTATTTTCACACAAGCACGGCTCAAGTAGTGGTGAGCACACTAATCTAAGATTGACTTCCTCTCACAGCAGAGCAGGGCTGAAGGCTGAAGGGCTGTAGTTTTACACACCTACACATCAGCCGCAGAATTAAAGGTCTTTCTGGACAAAGACTCCTGCTGTGGATTTCACCCTAGTAACGGAGCTTCTACAGAAAACAATGTGGGACTTTTTAATGTGGAACTTTTTCTTGGCAGCTTAATTGCTTGTGAGAGACTAGGCAATAGGCAGTTATTGTTTTACTCAGGATGCTCCTTATTTAATTGATTTTCATTGTTTCAAGCAAACTTCAATATCTATGATGCAAGCAGATTGATGAAGAGATGCTTTGTTGTGAGAAGTACACAGAACACAGAAGTACTGTGTTAAATACTTTAATATTTTGACAAACCCATTACCTGAAATATCAAATTTTAGCATGCTAAACATGTCCCCCACTGCTGTGCTATAGTATATTTCAAGTCATGTGTTTTGAAGAGAGGATAACTTTTTAAAGGGGACATATTATGTCCATTTTACTAAGATGTTATTTAAGTCTCGGGTGTCCCAAGAATGTGTCTGTGAAGTTTCAGCTCAAAATACCCCACAGATCATTTATTACACTATGACTATTTTTGGGTAGGAGCAAAAACACACTGTTTGTGTGTGTGTCTCTTTAAATGCAAATGAGCTGATGTTCCCCGCTCCCTTCCAGAAGAGAGCGGAGCTTTTACAGCTCATGCTTCGGATACTCCAGTAACAACAAAACTGGAGAATGTCGCACAGCGAATAGAATTTTCAAAAATGGATCAATAACAACTGTTTGTGAACCAACTTCTATATTATGTGAATGTTTGCAAATCGCCTTTCTGAATGTGCTTGTTAGCATGCAGCACAGCTAATGTGGCTAAAGTTAGCATTGTCTCTGACTGTATTCACAGAGACCAGAGCTATGAGCTAAGAGCTAAGTTATCAAGCACATTCAGAGAGGTGATTTGCACACATTAACAAAATAAGGTGAGGTAATTGCATGTCCTGAATATAAAGTTGGATTCACTAGTTGGATAACGAACAGTTGGTATTGGTCCATCTTTGAGAATCAACTCAGGGTGGGATCTATGCTAATAGGGCAGATCGTCACCATTCGTGGGCGGGACTTGTCATAATAGGTGCTCTTTAAGCAATCAGATTATCCCTCCCAGCCACCTAGAAATGCCCTAGGATGTGTTAGCAAAAACCTAGCAACGCCCTAGCGACTACATGGACCACTGAACATTTTACTGTGCCGCTTGCTCAATGCTCAGTCCTGGAGAGCCACAGTCCTGCAGAGCTCAGTACCAACCCTAATCAAACACACCTAATCAAGGTCTAAGGGTTACTAGAAAGCTACAGGTAGTTGAGTTTTAATCAAGGTTGGAGCAAAACTCTGCAGGACTATGACTCTCCAGGACCGACGTTGGCCACCCCTGACGTAGAACATCCCAGGACACCCTAGCAATCACCAAGCAAAACTCTAAACCTTCCAATAACAGTATAGAATCCATCTAGCAATCCTCTAGCAACCCTCCACAACACCCTAGCTATCATCTAGAAATGCCCTAAAACCACCCAGAACACCCAAGCAACACCATAGAAACCACCTAAGACATCCTAGCAACCACCTACAACACCCTACAGTTTCACTTAGAAATACCCTAAAACCACTTAGAACACTCTACCAACACCATAGAAACCACATAAGACACCCTAGCAATCACCTAGAACACCCTAGCTATAGTATCACCAAGGAAAAGTCATAAACTGCCCAGAACACCTTAGCAACGCCATAGAAACCACCTGAGACTCCCTAGCAACCACCTTGAACACCTTAGCTACAGCACCACCTAGAAATGCCCTAATACCGCCCAGAATACCTTAGCAAAACCATAGAAACCATCTAAGACACCCTAGCAACCACCTAGAACACCCTAACTACAGTACCACCTAGAAATGCCCTAAAATCGCCCAGAACACCTTAACAAAACCATTGAAACCAACTAAGACACACTAACAACCACCTAGAACAGCTGCAGTACCACCTAGAAATGTCCTAAAACAACCCAGAACACCTTAGCAACACCATAGAAACCACCTAAGACTCCCTAGCTATAGTACCACCTAGAAATGTCCTTAAACCACCCAGAACACAATAGCACTGCCTTAAAAACCACCAGAACCCTCTAGCAACCACCTAGCAGTTTTCTTTTCTTAAGGACATGTGAAAGTCTTGTGTTGACTGTTGTGTGTCTCTTAGGATCACGTGTACTGGACGGACCGTGAGAAGGAGGCCGTCTACAGTGCAAACAGACTCACAGGACAGGATGTGACCAGTCTTGCCGAGCACCTCAATGACCCTCATGACATAGTGGTTTTCCACGAGCTGAGCCAGCCTGCGGGTGTGTGGACTTCAACTCTGCTATTTCTATTTATTTCAAGTCCTTTTTTGACATTTTGACTAATGGCATACAACAAAGTTTTTAATCCACCTTATGAAATCCATTATCGGATTTGTTCCTTTTGTAATCCATCACGCTTGCATTTCTGTTTTAATCGGCATCTAAGTCATTTTGACTTAACAATCTGGTACCGAAGACAAAAAGCGTCAACAGCTTACTGTTAAATATTAATCATAGTTCCACAGTCTCCACAGACTGAAGATGAAGTGTGTTTGACCCATGTGGCTCACAGAATGAGAACGCATCTCCACTGATGGATGATTAATCATTGTTTGTGTGTGTGTGTGTGTGTGTGTGTAGTTCCTGACAGCTGTAACCTGAGCGGCGTGACTAACGGAGGCTGTGACTTCCTGTGTCTGCGAGCTCCTCAGATCAGTGAACACTCACCCAAATACACCTGCGCTTGCCCTGACGGCGAGGAGCTCAGCCCTGACACACGCCAGTGTGTACCCGGTAAGCTCATTATATTGTGCCTAAAGGCCTTTTCACACTGAACGCGAAATTCGGCACGATGACGTTTTTAAATCGAAACAATAGATCCCTATGGGACTATTCACATCAGGCGTGATCATTCACGGCGCGAAAAAGCGAGGATTTTTTTTCCGTCCTGTGTGTCGATTTTTTGCCCTTGTCGCTGCATGTCGCCAGGGGCTGGCGATGAGGTTGCTAGTGGGTGTTTTCAATACTGTTTGCCTTGCCTAGGATGTGTTAGCAAAAACCTAGCAACGCCCTAGCGACTACATGGACCACTGAACATTTTACTGTGCCGCTTGCTCAATGCTCAGTCCTGGAGAGCCACAGTCCTGCAGAGCTCAGTACCAACCCTAATCAAACACACCTAATCAAGGTCTAAGGGTTACTAGAAAGCTACAGGTAGTTGAGTTTTAATCAAGGTTGGAGCAAAACTCTGCAGGACTATGACTCTCCAGGACCGACGTTGGCCACCCCTGACGTAGAACATCCCAGGACACCCTAGCAATCACCAAGCAAAACTCTAAACCTTCCAATAACAGTATAGAATCCATCTAGCAATCCTCTAGCAACCCTCCACAACACCCTAGCTATCATCTAGAAATGCCCTAAAACCACCCAGAACACCCAAGCAACACCATAGAAACCACCTAAGACATCCTAGCAACCACCTACAACACCCTACAGTTTCACTTAGAAATACCCTAAAACCACTTAGAACACTCTACCAACACCATAGAAACCACATAAGACACCCTAGCAATCACCTAGAACACCCTAGCTATAGTATCACCAAGGAAAAGTCATAAACTGCCCAGAACACCTTAGCAACGCCATAGAAACCACCTGAGACTCCCTAGCAACCACCTTGAACACCTTAGCTACAGCACCACCTAGAAATGCCCTAATACCGCCCAGAATACCTTAGCAAAACCATAGAAACCATCTAAGACACCCTAGCAACCACCTAGAACACCCTAACTACAGTACCACCTAGAAATGCCCTAAAATCGCCCAGAACACCTTAACAAAACCATTGAAACCAACTAAGACACACTAACAACCACCTAGAACAGCTGCAGTACCACCTAGAAATGTCCTAAAACAACCCAGAACACCTTAGCAACACCATAGAAACCACCTAAGACTCCCTAGCTATAGTACCACCTAGAAATGTCCTTAAACCACCCAGAACACAATAGCACTGCCTTAAAAACCACCAGAACCCTCTAGCAACCACCTAGCAGTTTTCTTTTCTTAAGGACATGTGAAAGTCTTGTGTTGACTGTTGTGTGTCTCTTAGGATCACGTGTACTGGACGGACCGTGAGAAGGAGGCCGTCTACAGTGCAAACAGACTCACAGGACAGGATGTGACCAGTCTTGCCGAGCACCTCAATGACCCTCATGACATAGTGGTTTTCCACGAGCTGAGCCAGCCTGCGGGTGTGTGGACTTCAACTCTGCTATTTCTATTTATTTCAAGTCCTTTTTTGACATTTTGACTAATGGCATACAACAAAGTTTTTAATCCACCTTATGAAATCCATTATCGGATTTGTTCCTTTTGTAATCCATCACGCTTGCATTTCTGTTTTAATCGGCATCTAAGTCATTTTGACTTAACAATCTGGTACCGAAGACAAAAAGCGTCAACAGCTTACTGTTAAATATTAATCATAGTTCCACAGTCTCCACAGACTGAAGATGAAGTGTGTTTGACCCATGTGGCTCACAGAATGAGAACGCATCTCCACTGATGGATGATTAATCATTGTTTGTGTGTGTGTGTGTGTGTGTGTGTAGTTCCTGACAGCTGTAACCTGAGCGGCGTGACTAACGGAGGCTGTTACTTCCTGTGTCTGCGAGCTCCTCAGATCAGTGAACACTCACCCAAATACACCTGCGCTTGCCCTGACGGCGAGGAGCTCAGCCCTGACACACGCCAGTGTGTACCCGGTAAGCTCATTATATTGTGCCTAAAGGCCTTTTCACACTGAACGCGAAATTCGGCACGATGACGTTTTTAAATCGAAACAATAGATCCCTATGGGACTATTCACATCAGGCGTGATCATTCACGGCGCGAAAAAGCGAGGATTTTTTTTCCGTCCTGTGTGTCGATTTTTTGCCCTTGTCGCTGCATGTCGCCAGGGGCTGGCGATGAGGTTGCTAGTGGGTGTTTTCAATACTGTTTGCCTTGACAGCGAATCAGGTTTCTTGCCGCTAAGTACAAACATTTTGGAGGCAAAGACTAAATATAATCTAAATCTAAATTAAATCCGTACATACAAACAAAAATTAATGAGAAACGGAGCATACTTTCTTCCATGTTTATCAACGGCTGAGAGGAGAACGATCACATGAGCTCTACCGTCTTCTTTCCTATTGGCTGTCGCTCCCGAAAGTCGCTCTTCATTTGCATAAAGTTGAAGGATTCTGAACTTTGTCGTGTTGCTGGAAATCGCCAGCTCTCCATTGAAATGATTGGGATTGTGTTGCATTGTTGCGTGTCGCTTGTAGTGTGAACAGGTCTTTATATGAGTCTCAGCGTGTTCACTCTCTTGATCTCCTGAATTAAAATATCCCGTAAAAAAAAAATAGAGTGACATTAATAATTACATTTTCAAGAGTAGCTTGACGCTAATTGTACTTCTAATTATATTTTAGGATGCATTCTTCTAAGCATTATAGATAGTTTGTGTGTCTGGTGTAGAACCAAACTTTGTTTATCTTAATTTAATGCTGTATATTGAGCAGTGGAC